CCCCCGGGGGGTACTCTCGGTTACTCACTTTTGAGGTGAAATCAGAAACTTAGATTACGAGTTGTTTACTATCCTCGATTTTTTCTCTGTCATGGCTAAGAGAGTAGCAGTAATTGGGGGTGGTGTAGCTGGATTGACATCCATGAAGAACGCTCTCGATTCAGGCTTTGAACCCACGGCATACGAAAAGGATTCTTGGTTTGGAGGCATTTGGTATTACACCGAAGATGAACATCGATTTGTTGCACCTAAATCAACAATTTTCAACACAAGTAAACACTTCTCTTGCTTCAGCGACTTTCCATTTCCCAAAGAGACACCAAATTATCTTACTGCAGAAGAATTCCAACGATATCTGGAATCTTATGCCGAGAAGTTCGATCTTAGTAGACGAATACGATTCAACACTGAAGTCTTGAAGGTAGAGAAATGCAAAGATTATGAAAAGACTGGTAGATGGGAGATCCATTCAAAGACGTCTGATGGCAGTGGAAAAGAGAACGTTTGTATTGAAGAGTATGACTATGTGATGGTTTGCAGTGGTACATATTCCAACCCATTCGTCCCTAAGATAGCAGGAATAGATGCCTTTACTGGTACAGTGATTCATAGCAAATCTTACAAGACTTACAAACCYTTTGAAGGAAGGCGAGTCTTGGTCGTGGGACTTGGAAATACAGCAGGTAATAAAGGTTTAGTTSTCTCTCTTTACTGCCAGACATGCAATGTATGCAGGCATTTATCTGCTATCAGGTGTTTTAATAAGATCTGTTGTTTTGCAATTTGTTCAAAATTGGATTTTCTGAAAGTGAGAAATATGAGAGGAAGCACATGKATTTTACATCCACTGGACTGCAATCTGTCATGTATAAGATTTCTCCCCTCACTAATCTTCGTACCCGATATTGCTTGAAATAATTTGAAATTTGAATGTTTCTTATAATTATTTCCCATTATGTACACTCACCTACTACTTCAATCTATAATACATTAGTGTTTTGTTTAATTCTTCATTTAGGAGACATAGCCTGTGAATTAAGTAGACACGCCAAGCAAGTCTATGTTAGCACTAGACGAGGTACATATGTAGTTCCACGRATAGCAGCTGGTGGAATGCCGAGTGACCTTAATTTCTTWASAAGAGCAGTTCAATCCCTCCCTAAAAGTCTTCTAGCGTGGCTTWTAAAAAGAAACTTGTCCTCGCTGTTCAACCTCCCTGACCTTGGCCTCGAACCCATCGGTGATGAATCTCTAKCTTTTCTCTTGATCAATGATGAGCTTCCTCATCGAATTGTGACTGGAACACTGATTGTGAAGGATGAAATTATTGGTTTTAAAGACAGGAAAGTGTTCTTTAAAGACCATACAGAATTGGATGACATTGATGATGTGATATTTGCCACTGGATATGATGTTTCTTTTCCTTTCTTAACCAAGTCTGTAATGAATCCAGACACAGCAATGTCAGGTCATCAGTCTTACAAGGTGGTGTTTCCTCTTGGTCTTTCTCACCCAACATTAGCTCTTATTGGTATTTTTCGAGTTGCTGGAAGTGTGATTCCAGTAATGGAGATGCAAGCTCGCTTTGCCATGCAAGTTTTTAAAGGAGAATTTATCTTGCCAAGTAAAGAGTTGATGAAGAAAGAGGTTGTTGAAAGGAGGGCAGCATTACTCAAGACTGGAATAAAAAGATCAAGTGGTAGTTCTTACGTGGTAGGTCTTTGTTTAGTTTAAGTTGGAGAAAATATGCTCTCCATAATTACAGTTTTATCTTTCACAAATAATATCTCAGGGAATAAATCCATTTTGTATCAGTTGTTTTCACTTGTTGTGAGGAGTGTCATGTAGTAAAATAATGAATGTTGAGGTAGTGAGTATGAGTGAATATATAGAGGGCCACTACAAGTGACAAGTTTATTAGTCTAGAGACTATTATGTGCTACCCTCTCAAAATAAAAGACTTTTTTATTTATTTACTTAACATTCATCTTTAAGACATAAAAAGGATCTAATTGTAATTGCAATTAATGTGTTTTTTTCTTTCCAGCTAAATGAAGGTTTTGTCAATTACTTGGATGACATTGGATCTCTGATAGGAGTCAAACCCAACTTTTGGAAACTGTTTTTTCAAGATCCTAAGCTAGCAATAAAGTGTTTCTTTGGTCCAGCTATCCCTGCACAGTACCGTCTGATGGGACCAGGGGCGTGGTCAGGTGCAAAACAGGTCATGGAAGAAGTAGAAGAACRCATGTTGGCTCCATTTACAGCCAAGAAGGGTACTAATGATTATCCATCTACTAGTTCATCAAGTTTTTTGTGGATTGTGTGTAGTGTTGTTGTATTGTTAATTGCTTTATTGGTGTTTTATAAATAATATTCATTTTTTATTGAACAAAATACATGTAGAGTTACTAGTATTTGATTCTTGTTTGCAGTAGAAAAAACATTTACTTAATAATATTTTGTACTAGACTGAAGACAGCATTATTAGAGGAAGATTTTTTATTGAAATGGGCATGGGTTAATTACCGAGAACAGAATTATAAGCATATACATACATCCCTGAAAATTATCGCCAACGTTTGAGGTAATTCAGTATATAATTGTATCATTGAAAAGGTTGGCTTGTTGCTAACGTTCGATGTAATTAATTATTTTGTTTCATTGAAAAGGTTTTCACTGAAAAACAATCCAGAATAACATTGATAATCAGATCATTATTCCAGAATTCCCAAAATGGAGATCTGAACAATTGCTGGTCAATTCTATTTATGACAAAATTATAGTGTAAAACTAKAGTAACCACTGACAAAGCTAGTTTTTAGTTCCAATTGGTTAGCTCAGTAGAGTACAAACACTAAAACTGTGCAACATAAATACTCTTTTACTCCGAACAATTAACGTCCGAAACGTCATTAAGTTACTATTCCTACTTTTTTATGGTGTCTAATTTATCTTTTTACACAACTGTTTCTTTAGGAACACCGATGAAGCTCACACTAGTTTACCGCTAGTTCCCACCATTTTARATACCACTAAATACTGCTAAATTATGCTAATTCTATTGTTTTCTATTGTTTAATTAGCACTTTGTAGTAAATAGTACTTTGTAGTAAATAGTGTAAAGTGTTGCACGCTTTTAGTGCTTGTACTCTAGCATAATGGTTTATAAGTGGTGTRTAGAAGGTCTAGGGTTTTTAACAAYATCTAGACTATTTTCAGCTCAGTTAAAGATTTCAGGTCCCTGACAAAATTTCTATATCAGAATTCGTCAGTTTTGCTGGAGGTTATATACCAGGGCTACGTCTGTAAACATACCAGGTTTACACTGTACCTAGATATACCTTGGATTAGTTTTCTCAGAGAAATATGAGATATACAGCCTCATCAATGAAAACCAAGTCAATGAGACAAAAAAGTAAAATCAAAAAATTGTTTTTTCACATAGTACTGTGTGGATCCAAAGCATTTCATGCTTTTATTAAAAAGCAGTCCAAGACATGCTCAATTATATAATAGTAGACTTAAATTATATATACATGTAAATATTTCTGTTGTGATTTTTAATACATGCATTCTGAGCATATTTAGCAAACACTGATAAAGTACTGTGGAGCAGGGGGAGGGGGGAAGGGGGCTTGTTAGGAGGCTGTAGATGCCCCAAAGATTATTTTTCTGACTTTTTTTATTTGCTTGTTAGAAAAATGTAACTTCTTCAATCCTGCTCCAAAAGTAAAATGTTATTTAGACCCATATACTAGAGTACTTACATTATGTCCATGAAACAAAATCTAAATAGTTTCTAAATAGAGGGATTTTCGTCAACCTGTGAAATAGTTCCTACGCTAATAGACGCTAGTAGACTCTACGCCTATTGCTTTCTTTTATTGGAATACAACTATTAGACATTATTAAATACTCACTAGTAGTAATTGTTTCACAGACGGATGAAAATGACTCTATTAAATAGTTTTTATTTAGTGACTATTAGATACTATCATTCAACTGGAACAGCTTAATGCTTTCTATTGTCTTGAGCATTCAAACAAAAGAAAGAAGCTGTTCCAGTTAAATGTTAGTGACTAATTGTAACTAAATAAGAACTATTAGATAACAACTAGATAGATTTTATTTCATGGACATGTGTAAGCACTCTAACACCTTTTGGTATCTTGACAAAATTTCAAAAATTCTGGCCACTTGATCCAGTTGGTTGGTTCTTTGCGACCCCCCCAATGTCCTCCACCACAAAATCCATAAGATGCTCCACAATCCCTGAGATACTACTCAAATTCATCATTACTATATTTTAATCTATTTTTTACAAAATTAATTTAATATACTAAAATTGTAACAAAATTATGATTGTAACAAAATTATGCTTAGAAAAGTAAATATATATCTATTTTTAATATGGGTATTGTGTATTGTATTGCAAGCATTTAAATTTATTTAGTTTTATTTATCTATTTATTTATTTATTTTTCATTTTCACTTTTATGAGTCTGTATCAGTTTTCATTTTCAACTGTCTGTACGAAAAATGGCTGCATTATGTGTTTGCAAACAAGCAATGGCTAAAAAAAATTAAATTTCTATCCCAAACCCCGTGTCATTATAAATTCTGTAAGTACTCTTTGTGGCCAAAAAAATATTGTATCAACATTTTTACTAGCGTTATTTTTGATGCCTTTAGAGATGACATGTAACTTGTGTTTTTTCTAATACCAAAATAAATTATTCATACAAGCGATGGTGGCTCTACGCGTTCACGACCTTGTTCATCAAATAGCGTCGAGTAACGCGGTGGTGGAGTGCTTKCACTAGCTGTAATTCCAGGATATGGMGGCGGTGGGYTATCGTTGGAGCACGAAAACTCTGCAGTCTCACAAACWCTCTGATTTCCAATGATTACAACGGCTGTTTCTCGTTTATTCAAACAATATCTGTTCACTAAACAGTATATAAGCGCCAAGATGGCAATAATTGCCGAAACGATGAGTGCTATGGCTCCAGAATGCGAGATAGGCTCCTCTCCGGCTTTCTCGGGCGTAATTCCTCTGATGGTATCCTTACTTTTTAAATTCCTCTTTGTTAAGCCATKTACATGAAGAAAATATCCAACAATAACAATGTATTGCAATGTAGGTTTGATCATGTCCTGGTMTTTTCACTTTCAGTTTCGAATTCAATGTTGCAATTTATCGGAAAAACCAGAAGCRCAGCAAAAATCTTTTTCTTGTGAAATTGTCCAGAAGCTTAATAAAGCTGCATCGCTGGTAAACTTGTATCTTAATCATTTGGAATAAATATGTTGAAAGTTTATAATTGATGGAGATACGTACTGTGTGGCTTTATACTCGAGTRAAGTCGGTGCTTGATCTCTGCAGACTACTGCAAAGTGCCAGTTTTGTTCGTTGTCCCCTGAGCTTTGTGGCTAGCGTTTCTGTTTTGAAAAAAAATTATATAGCTGTCAGCTATCCAAAGTTTTGTTTATAATGGGAGTTATTTTAGGCATATGACAGCATGTCGTGTTTCTACGATCGTTACATGTGACCCGTGACCAAAACCAAACATTCTTTGCTCAAAAGCCTTTTGCAACTTGTCAAATCATTCGGGAATATAATAATCCCCTGAGCTCTCAATACAGCTAATTAACATGCTAATTCTCATGGAGATGATAAAAATAATGTATGTATGTGTGCTTTTAATATTGCGTTACAACAAATTCCAAAAATTGCAAACAAAGAGGTAATTTCCCATTTAGAGGTATTTCCCCTCTAAGCGTGATTATGGATGAACGATCTTTGTGATAGGCCCCTGCATATGCAGGTCTTAGACTCCTCGCAGCCGTTTTCCGGTGTCGTCTCCTTAAGACGACACCGGAAAACGGCTGCGAGGAGTCTAATGCAGGTCTATGCATGTAGAGCCGATCCGCACGGCAAATGTGTTTCTCTTTCTTTTCGTTTTCCTTTGTGTTTAGCTAGACAATTAAGTTTGATTTGTCACAGACACACAGATACTGCTAATAAGCATTTTGAACTACTGCTCTGATGGTATAAATTCTAAATGACATAAAAAATGTGTTTATCTTCATGCATTACAGTGAATTAAAATAATGACTGATTCTTAGACATTTTTATGCATAAAACATCAATTCTTTAGACTATCAGTGATAAAGAGATAAAGAAGAGTTCATCAGTCAATTTGTAAAATCTGCTTAAGTTTTCATTCCTCATCTTGAACTTTGGCACTTTTAAAATACTGCGTTAGAAAAGACCACACCTCATTAAATTCCAAATGGTCGTTTGTTCTACCATGTGGGATTCTAAGTGCGTCGTGTGTACTTGATGTGATAATCAGATCGACGACTTGTTTGATTTTATCATATTTCGTAATTTATTCGCTAATCTTCTGTTTATAAAGAGTTAAATCAGTACCGGAGTTCTAAACAACTCTCAACTCGAGGGCGAGAACTCGAGTGCGGCTCGAGATTAAGTTTACATAAGGTACGGTGATACCGAGCAGCAAAATCGTACAACTTGTCTCGCAACGTTGCTGCAAGCAAGTTGGAAAGCGATGTTGCGCGTTTTACTACTGGCGAGCCAATTATCTCGCATCAAAATATTTTGATGCAGGTTGAGCAAATCCTTATTTCTGATTGGCCAATGCAGTCAGCTGATTGTCGCGCAAAGTCACTTTGCTGCGAGACAAGTTTGGTTGATGCAGTAATACGCGGGCAACATCTTTGAGTTTTGTTTGCAAAAAGTAGAATCATCTTCTACTTTCTGCAGCAAACTTTTTCAACTTGCAAGAAAATATTTTGCTGCGAAAAAAGTTGGTTTGCCGCTAGTAAAACGCGCAACATCGCTTTCCAACTTGCTTTGAAGCAATGTTGCGAGACAACTTGTAAGATTTTGCTGCTCGTATTACCGTACCTATACAACACGGCATCCCAGCAAGTGTCGCTCGTTCCTCTCTCCAAAAATACCATGCAACTTAAAAWGTTTTCTAGTCCAACTAAAAATCCACCACTTTTATTAAATGTTTTTTTAATTATATTTACAGTTAAATTGGTTTAAAAACTACAACAATATTTTATATTTTTCTGCTCTAGGAACTCGATTTATTACAAGTCTGCCATCATAAGAAAGTGACGCAAAGACCCAAGGGTCAGCGGTTGACCATTCCGATGCATATACACTGTCTTCGTGTTCATCAAATGTTGCTATCACTCCATCTGTTGCAGGTTCTTGAGATCTGAATATTTACAAACAAATATGTAACTGCGATGTGCTTTTTGAATTCTTAGTGGGGTGACTAGAGTTTTCTTAAGACTGGTCTACCCTACAACATAAGCATATGGACAAAAGAAAATGCGATAGAATGAACTCAAAAGTGCAATATAAAAATCGACGTAAGCATAGCAAGAAGCACAAGGCCAACCTAGCTAAATACAAAACAAAAAACCAAGTAAACAACTTTTTTATCTTCTTCATATCTTCAAATTTTCGTATTTTTGCAATAAATGTATTTTTTTCTTTGTATTTTTTGTTGTTGTTGTTCTGATTATGATTGTGATTAAGATTGTGATTTTGATTGTTGTTATTATGATTTTTTTTGCTTATGCTTACATTGTAGTGTGAGACGGCCATAACTCCAATATCTAAGTAAACCGTTTACCATGGATTATTATTATTATTATTATTATTATTATGGATTATTATGGATTCATTGGGAATCGTCGACGTTCCCTGACAATATCTAAACAATTCTAACAAGAAGCCAAATCCGTGTTTCTATAAGTCGAGATCAGAAAGATCCAGAAATTTGTTTCGCCGTCTATTAAAAAAGGAGGGCACACTACCACAGGCTTCCCAACCCAAATCCCCGAGGTTTGCATCAATCTTTTATGAGAAATCTTACATTTTTTCTAGTTTGTCATCATCATCATCTTCATCATCAAGGTGCCCATAGGGTTCAGATGACAGTGARATGATGTTATGGAGAATGACTCTACTGTCACTGCTTGAAGACAGAAGAAGCTGATCGTGGAAATGATTATATCGTATACTCCAAACCCTAGAAAAACACTGCATTAGATATATAACCATTTTAGAAAACGTTAAATGCTGAAGGTAATATTTCCATTACCCGCCTATTCCATTGCTGGTCGTGCTATCGTAGTTCAAAGGATTTCTMACGATATTTCAGAGTGACTATACCAGCTTCGTAAATCAAGAACTTCAATAATAAGTTTAGAATTATCATTTTGTAACGCTAGCGTGGAGTTTAATAGCAACAATGTATTTGGGTCTTAGAATGCACTATGCAGTATACAGTGTTCAACGTATGAACTGCGTTTGCTCTACACAAAAGTAAATAGGCGATTTGCATGGTGTGTCCACATACAGACACAAACACTAAAACTACCAAGGAGTTTGTCTGCATTTTACCACAAATCATCACTTTCTCAGTCTTTCATGGACATTTAACTTACTAAGCGCACTAATTGCAGTTAAAAAGCATCAGTTTGGCAGTATCTGTATCAAGATAGACTCACCAATGCGAATGTTGTGAAATAACCATCAATGGTTCTTCTATATTTCGTGTGTCCCAGAATTTGATCTTACAATCATCACCACAGCTAACTAAATGATACTGCTTGTTAGGATTGAAGTCAAGATCTCTCACTAGTTGACCGTGTGCATTCTCAATGGCATACACCTGCCTAAAAAACGTCAAAAACAAAACTGATTTCGACAAGAAGTCTGTTACACTGCAACAGTCTGCAACTGTCTTACAGCAATGCTAGAGAATAATCCAGTTTCGAATTCTCCAATGCTCTGTGTTAGCCTCATTTGTGCGCAAAATATTCCTAATTGTGAGAATAAAMGTGTGAGATTTCAAWWCAATTCTATTGTCTTTCTTTTCGAATTCCATGCGTCCAGGCGAACACAGAGCAAACAGGAGTTTATAACATTGAATTTATAGAGTGGTTTTCATAAACCAGTGAAACAAAGTGTAATAATTAGAGTGTAATAGATCGTAATAGTCGCGTAGAGACAATAAAAAACAATAGAGCCCAAGTGTAATAGCGATAAATACCCTAAAGTGTGTTTCACGGGTTAATGAAAACTACTCTAACATGAGTTGTTATCAATTTATTTTACAGTTTGAGCAAACCCAGGTCAACATTTTGCTATCCATCTCATCGAATTGCAAAAGCCTTCACAGTATATCTTTACTGTGCAAACAGCTTGTTTCATAATGGTGGAAACTAGCGGTAAACTAGGGTGAGCTGCTTCGGTTTTTCTAAAGAAACAGTTGTGTAAAAGGATAGACGAAACGTCCGAAACGTCAGTGAGATGTTTAACCTACTTTTTTACAAATTTATCAAGTTGTTGATAACATTGCACAGAGTAGCATGTCCTTAATTTTGCAAAGRCAATGTTCACGGTGGATCAGCAGTACTTTGAAATAGAGATGACAAATCAGAGAATGGTAGCACGTTCAATGGAGTTGAATAGCACATTGAAATTTAGAGCGGATTCCGTATGAGTGGGACACCGTTACCGCACGGTTACCGTACAGTTACCGCACCTGGCCTGTACAATTTTGGTGAATCAATGGGGCACTAGAATTTGGTTACAGTACGATTACGGTCACAGTAAAGTACCGTCCGTTTCCCACGATACGAAATCCGCTCTAGACTACTTTGCATTCGTTTCCACTGTTTCCACGCATAACCAAAACATCATGACACTAGTAGAGTGCACGCCACATAAGTGTGAAACAATTCTTAACTATGTTTAGAATTTCTTTGTACGCAGGCATAATTATTAAAAATATCACTAGTAAACACAGAGGATTCATTTATTTTTAGTAATTCTTAACTAATTAGCACCTAATAAKATTTAGTCATCAACTAAGAATTTAGTGAGGCGTAAACAAAGAAATTTCCTTTTCTGGCATTGTGTTCATGCCCCAGTGAATTCTTAGTTAGTTGATAACTAAATCCTATTAGTTATTGATTGTTAAGAATTGTTTCACGCTTTTTTGGCGTGCACTCTAAAGGACCGTTTACACTTGCAATTTTTGCAGCGCGATTGTCGCGCGACAATCGGCTTAGTTTCGAACATGCTTGAAATTTAGCTGCAACTCGCGGCGATCAAAAATCGCGGGACTGTTTACACGCACGATTTGATTTGCGAGAGAACAAATTGGCGATTGTCGCGCGACAATCGCGCTGCAAAAATCGCAAGTGTAAACGGGCCTTAACATTTGACGTAGTCAATAGAATAGCAATTATAATAATATTTTCAAGTGTCAAACCTTAGTGTCCTCGAGTCCCAGCCCCTAATCGTTGTGTCATTTGTTGTTGCTAATTGTGATCCTCCATGATGTGGATTCCATCGTCCTGTTGTGAACTTAGGTTGTCCTTTTCCTACCAGATTTGCTGAATCAACAGACTGAAAAGAAAGAAGTCAACTCTTGCCTTAGGGAAGCTTCTAAATACATTCTTGCTCTTAAGAAATTACTGAAACATTTTGGTAGATTAGCAAGCTGTCAGTATGACGTTATCATTCTCTAAAACAGTTGTCTTCCTTCAATGCAAAGGCACAGCGACCATTAAAGATGGCATATATTTTGATATATTTTATATTCATGTATATTTTATTGATATCCAGTAACCCTCATCCCCAGYGACCATAATCGACCTTAGCATTAAAACAATAGAAAGTTCTGATATGACGTTATAATAAAATAGGGCAATTACCAAATTGATTAATCAACCAATCAATTAATTACTGATGGAAAAACACCACCACTCGGATCGCAACTCACCTCTAGAATAGATGTTGAAGTGTTGATGTCCCAAAGATTTAAATGCTGCTCAGAGACAGAAATGACCTGGGAGCCATTGCCAGAAGGATTCCAAAGGATACTGTGCATAAAAATAATACTCAATAATCAATTTATTTATATTATGTCATTGCATTTTAAATTGATGCACTCAATTTCTTGACAGGATCCTTACACTGTTAATTTGTTTTTTAAAAGTTACATTGCAAGTCAAGTTGCTGAAAGGTTGAGGTGTACAATAAGACTGCATGTTTTCCAAGGATATTTTAAATTATAAAAGATAAAAAAAGACCTCTCCACCCACTACATTCCACCATAAATCCAAGTGGCACACTTCCAGTTTTAAAAGAAGTTCATTTTAATAGATACTTATTCTCACCTCTTTAWATTTTCATGTTGGTTGTCAAGTTCACATACAAGTTGTAATGATCTTGCATATCCACCACTRGGTGAATGGCTTAATCCTGGTGAGTCTGGTGGAGGAGGCTCAGTCTCATCAACTGGTGGAATCCTCCATATAGCAGCCTTAACTTCAGCTTTGTTATCATTTACTATAARTAATTTGAAATAATACAATTTAGGGATTAAAAGTAGCAAAAGAAACATGATACAGAGATGCATAATCTGTGCTAATGAATCCCACAGACAAATTATTGTACATTTTGGTTTATTACCATACCATTAGAATATTTAAAGATTTCATGTTAGAGTGGATTTCGTATGACTGTGTAAAAAACACAGTACTTTCACACTGTGACCGTACTGTGCTGTAGCGGTGATGTATTGTTAAATCTTTATATTTATTTGGAATCCTAGAAGGCGAGGTTCTGTGATCTTGCCGTGCCGTTTCCGTGTTGTGATCTGTGCCGTTGCACAGTCATACGAAATCCGCTCTATAACCTAACAATAACACCAAATCAGCACTGAATATTAAAACAACATGGCACAATAAAACACTTTTTTAGAGATCAGATTACATRGTCTACTTAGCATTTTTGCCACTCAGCATCTTTTAACACTAACATCTTATTAGCTATTGCATTTAAAGAATGAAACTTTCATGAGGATTGCAGTTGTCAATAAGCCCTTTAACTATATGAAGACTTATCTTACAATTTTTTTGGAAATCAAATTTAGTATTAAGCACAATCCACCTACATCACACACGTAGAAGTTTACTATCTACTAGTAAAAGGGGTGAAAAGCCACATATTTAGCAGTCACACAAAGAACAATGTCATGCTTTTTAAAAACATGGAACAGAAACGCTGGATATACTTATTACTAATGATTGATCATAATAATTGAAGGTCATCTTACCCTTGTTATAGCAGGTTGATATGATATTTTTGTCTAATGGACTTGAGTTTATTGACCTACGTAACACAAAAGTCTCATTTAAAAATATCATATTTGGTATGCTGTTTATAATCATGTTTGTTCCCAGTCTTCTTTTTCAAAAGTAGAGTCACAGAGAAATTGTTACATTCTCATAGCCAGACCCTTTTTCATCTTCTAACCAAAAATCAAAGTTACTAAATTAACCTATTTCTCTGTGCTAATAATTGTTGCATGTAATGAGATAAGAATAGAATCAAATAACTACATAATGACTCACCAGATTTCACCAACAGAATGTAGGAATACATTTTTATTGATGATATTACTTTCATCATCRAAATCTATTAAATGGACCTAGTAAAACATAAAGATTTAAGTTATGAAAATTTATTCTTAGTCTACACAGTCATATTTAATTAAATTTGAATACTATTGTCCCAAGGCGATATTGATAGGTCCCTCATTGCCCCTCACAGATTATTGCTACAGACTCCCACGCACTGCCCKTAGGGTATTGCCCCTATAGAAATATGTTTAGGGTCCCCATTGCTACTAAAGGATTGTTGCTACATGTAGGGTCCCTCATTTTCCATATGTTCCTTACGGTATAGCAAGCCTCCTTTTAGGGTTCCAAAGATCTCCACTAGGGCTTCTTGGCTATAATAAATGGAATGGGTACATTTCTAGCTGGAACCTTGATTTTATGGTTTGCAAACTACAGTTTATTTCCGGTTATTCTGTACCTAACTATTACATTCATCCCTAATACAACATTCAGAATTACCTGATTTTCAAATTTTAGGGATTGAGATCCAACTAAAAATCTGATAACATCTGATTCAGCATGTTGAGGACAAAGGGCTCTTGCCTGTCARGAAGATATCGTCACATTAAGAATGCATCAGGCTATTCAGCTTACTAATAAGCTTATAAGTTTAACTTTTTTTAAATTTAACAATTTTTAAACACAAAAGCAAATAATTTGATATTGTCTAGTATGCAGTCTAATTTTAAAACTGCAAACATTTTACACGGTTCTCCTACTTAACTCAAGAAAACAATATCAAAGTAAGGCTGCTAATGCACAATGTAAAAGAGCTTATAACTTGAAATACAATAATTAGGGGGTCTTGTACGAAGTGTGCCATCGGATAAATTATTATCAAGCAGATAAAATCCATACAAATCTTTGGATTACACAGCTTTATCCGGCAGACGAGTTTATCTACCCTGCTACTAACCGCCCCTGTTGCGGACCCTGTTGCTAAAACTCTAAGAGCTTACGTTAAACTCCAAGCCATAGATCACTGGCGAATCGTCCTCCATTTTGTTTTTTTCTGTGAGCAGCCGCTGTTCAAGAAAATCACTTGCGCAACTGGAGGTCATGCGTGCAGGTCCGTGCTTCCCTGTGGTGGTGATACTAGTACCTGCACGACCAGTGGACAGTTGCGCAAGTAAAGTGAAGATCTTCTTTAAAAAGCCCAACAAATTTATTGATAATGTCGTCTTTTGCTCCGGCATCAAAGAAAACTAAAAGGACAGATAAAGATGACTTCGATAGAGATCATTTCGAGGGTATGATAGTGTCATTAATTATAGCGTTAGTCGTGCAAACGCGCTTCCTAATAAGACTCAACTTAACTTTAACTTATTTGTAGGAATTCCAAAGATAGAGTACAAACCAAATGCTGGTGCTACCGATGTACTGTGTTTTAAGCACTACAATTCTAAAGAGGTAAACTTATAGATGGATAATTAGACTAATTTTTAAAATAGAAATGTTTTAAAATGTTTGTGGACGTGGTCGTAATAACAATTGGTTTCTGCTTAAAACTGCACCAGACTTGTTATCCTGGAGTAATACTCCAGTTTCGAGATCTTATTTGTAGAAAGCAATGTAATATATTCTTTTATTAGTCGGACTAGCCGAAGG